AGAAGAAACTTTAAAAATTTCTGGAAACAAATGAAAATACAAACACAACATATCAGAATATGGGATACAGCAAAAGTAGTATTAAAAGGAAAGTTTATAGTAATAAACGCCTACAGAAGAGAGAAAGATTTCAAATAAACAACCTAACTATGCAACTTAAAGAACTCAAAAATCAAGAGCAAAACAAATCCAAAATTAGTAGAAGAAAGAAATAAGGATCAGACTGGGTGCAGTGGCTTACACTTGTAACCCCAGCACTTTGGGAGGCCAAGGTGGGAGGATCGTTTGAGCCCAGGAGTTCGAGACCAGCCTAGGCAACATACGGAGACCCCCATCTCTACAAAAAATAAAAACAAATTAGCCTGGTGTGGTGGTGCATGTCTTCAGTCCCAGTTATGTGGGAGGCTGAGGCAAAATGATCGCTTGAGCCCAGGAGTTCCAGACTAGGCTGGGCAACAGAGCAAGATCCAATCTCAAAAAAAAAGAAAAAGAAAAGAAAAGAAAAGAGAAAAGAAAAGAAAGAAAAAGAAATTGAGACTAAAAAATATATAAAAGATCAACAACGCAAACTGTTGGTTTTTTGAAAAGATAAAATTGACAAACCAGTAGTTAGACTAAGAAAAAAGACTAAGAGCCCAAATAAATAAAATCAGAGATAAAAAAGAAAACATTTCAACTGATACCACAGAAATACAAAAGCTCATTTGACAATATTGTGAACAAGCACATGACAAAAAAATTGGAAAATCTAGAAGAAACATATGAAATCCTGGACACATACAACCTACCATCATTGAACCAGAAAGAAATAGAAAATCTAATCAGACCAATAATGAGTAACAAGATCAAAGCAGTAGTAAAGAATCTCCCATCAAAGAAAAGCTCAGGACCTGATGGATTTACTACTGAATTCTGCCAAACATTTAAAGAACTAATACCAAGTCTACTCAAACTATTTCAAAAAATTGAAGGAGGGAATACTTCCAAACTCATCTATGAGGCTAGCATTACCCTGATAACAAAACCAGACAAGAACACAACACACACACATAAAAAATCTAAAGGCCAGTATCTCTGATGAACATAAATGCAGAAATCCTCCACAAAATACTAGCAAACTGAATTCCACAGCACATTAAAAAAAAAAGACCATTCCATCATGATCAAGTGGGATTCATCCCAGACATGCAATAAGGGTTCAATACATGCAAATCAATAAACAAGATACATGATCAACAGAATCAAGGACAAAATCCATATGATAATTTCAATAGATGCTGAAAAAGCATTCAACAAAATTCAGCATCCCTTCATGATAAAAACTTTCAACAAACTGGATTAGAAGGAACATACATCAACATGATAAAGGCCATACATAACAAACCCACAGCTAATATCATACTTAATGGGGAACAACTGAAAAACTTTCCACTAAGATCTAGAACAAGGTAAGAATGTGCACTCTCATCACTTCTATCCAACATAGTACTGGAAGTCCGAGCCAGAGCAATTAGGCAAGAGAGAGAAATGAAGGGTGTCCAAATTGGAAAGGAAGAAGTCAAATTATCTTTGTGTGTAGACAACATGATCTTACACTTTAAAAAACCTAAAGAGTCCACCAAAAAATTCTTAGAACTGATAAACAAATTCAGTAAAGTTTCAGGATATAAAACCAACATACAGAAATCAGTCACATTTTTATCCAACAGTTATCAATCTGAAAAAGCCATCAAGAAAGCAATCTCACTTACAATACCTACCAAAGAAAAAAATAAACTAGGAATAAATTTCACCAAAGTGAAACATCTCTACAGGAAAAACTACACAAAGCTGATGAAATAAATTGAAGAAGACACAAAAAATGGAAAGACATCCCATGCTCATGGACTGTATAAAATAACGTTGTTAAAATGGCCATACTACCCAAAGAAGTATATTTGTTGATCTATACATATGCAATCTCTATCAAAATTCCAATGGCACTTTTCATATAAATAGAAAAATCAACCCTAAAATTTCTATGGAACCACAAGAGACCCAGAATAGCAAAAGCAACCCTGAGCAAGAAGAACAAAGCTGG